GGGCCAGTCCTCGGATTTTACCGCTGGTGTGAAACTGTGTCTAGGCAGTCCTAGGAGTTTCTGTGTTCCCTATGATACGTGTGTGGTCTTTGCTTCTGCTCCAATTGCTGTTACCCCAACCTCCCCCATACCTGATGTATCAGTTAGCAATAACCCTTTGTGGTTCTGTGAGTCCCTGGTGTGGGGCTGGGCCCAGAAGGGAGCTCTGCCAAGCTCAGTCGCCATCTATGGTCAGTTGGGACAGTTGCTCCACACGGCAGCATCCAGTCGCCAGTCCGGTCACGTGGGGCAGGGCAGGTCCAAGTGCAGCCAGAGGCCCAGGCCACTGCACAGGTGCTCATCACACCCCTGCCCTGCCCCTCTGCTGGCATCCCCTTAGCTCGAGCAGGACATAACCAGCGCCGGGCCGGCAGGTGGAGGGATGAACCAAAGGTGCCACATCACTGTAATGAACTCGGTTTGCTTTTCAAGCCACTGGGGCTAGGATTCAAACGTGGTCAGTCGTGGAATCTAGCTCCCTTAACCACTGCGCCATGAGACGGGCCCTGTTATTTTCTTTATTCACAATAGCACATGCACACACACACCCACTGGGCCTGGTCACGCTGCAGCACACTCCAGCCCTCCATCCCTTTGGCTCCTGGGCGCCTGTGTGGGTGCCAAGAGTGCCTCCCGCTGACTGGGCTGGGACTTGGGCCACCGTCCACATGTGGGACCCAGCTACCCCTCAGGCAGCGCTGTGCCCTGGGGTCAGCCCTGGCTGTAGGGTTTCGCTGCTCCAGCCCATCCTGCTGCCTGCTGTTACATCTCTTCTCCTTAAGTATTGATTTTTTTTTTTTCATGTTTATAAGCAGAAGCCGTGCAGTACAGGAGAAAACGTACAAGTTATAGTCAGGGGCAGCTGGTGTGAGCTTCCAACAAACTTCTTAACCTCTCTGACCTTCTCTGTCTTCATGTACAAGTTGAGAGTTTGGGGAGCCGGCAGGTGGCATGGTAGTTGAAGGTGCTGGACTCCCACATGGCCGACTGCAGTTCAAGTCCCAGACCTGGCTGCTTGTTTGCTCACTTTCTCTGTCCCTCTCTGGTCATTTTTTTAAAAAATAAGTAAACAAATAAAGTTAAATAAAATAAATTTTTTAAAAATTTGCCTTCACAAGTTATTTTTATTTAGTTTTTGAAAGTTTTTTGGTAGAGGATGCATGCCCCTGCTGGAGAGATAAACAGGAAGAAGGGGAGAAACCACCCCCAGGGAGGCCGGGTCATGCTGTGGCTGGGACTGGAGCCAAGGCTGGCCATGTAGGATCCAGTCCCTTAACCACGAGGCTACAGGGCCAGTCCTCGGATTTTACCGCTGGTGTGAAACTGTGTCTAGGCAGTCCTAGGAGTTTCTGTGTTCCCTATGATACGTGTGTGGTCTTTGCTTCTGCTCCAATTGCTGTTACCCCAACCTCCCCCATACCTGATGTATCAGTTAGCAATAACCCTTTGTGGTTCTGTGAGTCCCTGGTGTGGGGCTGGGCCCAGAAGGGAGCTCTGCCAAGCTCAGTCGCCATCTATGGTCAGTTGGGACAGTTGCTCCACACGGCAGCATCCAGTCGCCAGTCCGGTCACGTGGGGCAGGGCAGGTCCAAGTGCAGCCAGAGGCCCAGGCCACTGCACAGGTGCTCATCACACCCCTGCCCTGCCCCTCTGCTGGCATCCCCTTAGCTCGAGCAGGACATAACCAGCGCCGGGCCGGCAGGTGGAGGGATGAACCAAAGGTGCCACATCACTGTAATGAACTCGGTTTGCTTTTCAAGCCACTGGGGCTAGGATTCAAACGTGGTCAGTCGTGGAATCTAGCTCCCTTAACCACTGCGCCATGAGACGGGCCCTGTTATTTTCTTTATTCACAATAGCACATGCACACACACACCCACTGGGCCTGGTCACGCTGCAGCACACTCCAGCCCTCCATCCCTTTGGCTCCTGGGCGCCTGTGTGGGTGCCAAGAGTGCCTCCCGCTGACTGGGCTGGGACTTGGGCCACCGTCCACATGTGGGACCCAGCTACCCCTCAGGCAGCGCTGTGCCCTGGGGTCAGCCCTGGCTGTAGGGTTTCGCTGCTCCAGCCCATCCTGCTGCCTGCTGTTACATCTCTTCTCCTTAAGTATTGATTTTTTTTTTTTCATGTTTATAAGCAGAAGCCGTGCAGTACAGGAGAAAACGTACAAGTTATAGTCAGGGGCAGCTGGTGTGAGCTTCCAACAAACTTCTTAACCTCTCTGACCTTCTCTGTCTTCATGTACAAGTTGAGAGTTTGGGGACCAGCAGGTGGCATGGTAGTTAAGGCGCTGAATCACACATGGTCGACTCCGAGTCCTGGACCTGGTGGCTTGAAAGTCATGCCAGCTGTGTATGTGTGGGTGCCCAAGATCCCTAGAAGAGGGAGAAGTGGTTGCTGTGTGACCATCCCCCCGGGGTTGGCTTCACACTCTCCCTCTGTCTGTCTGTCTCTTTCTCTCTAGTGAGCTCTTGCAGCCTATGGCAAAACATGGGGGGGAGGGGAGGAGAACAGCGTTTGAACTGAACCTGTGAGATTGGTTTAGACTGAAGACTGTGGCTGGGTGTCCCTGGACACCTTTATGCCTTATTACTCCCTAGACAAACCCTCAACTGTAGCGACACTAGGCTTCTCATTTTCCATTGGACATCCCATGGCTATGTTGCTCTTTTGTGGTTACATTCCCAATTCTAGTTTTTAAGTTTTTAAAATTTATTTCATTCAGTTTTTTTTAAAGTTTCCTATAGTGTACACGTGCGTACCAGAGAGAGAGAGAGAGAAAGTGAGCAAGCAAGCCACAAGCCACAAGGTCTGGGACTCAAACCATGGTCGCCCAGGTGAGAATCCAGCGCCTCAACTAACACGCCACCTGCTGGCCCCCCAGTTCTTTTGTTTAACTTCTTTTCTTTACTCACCATAGAGCACATGCATGTGTGAGAGAGATAAGCAGCCTGTCCAGCGTATAGTCGCACCACACGCTCCCTCCTCCCGCCCTCTAGCCTGTGGGATCTGGGGCACTCGTGTGCATACCTGGCATGTTTTCAGGTTGACAGGGCTGGGGACTCAAGCCAGGGTCCCCAGGTGGGATCTGACTTCAGACCAGTAAGTGGCATGTTTGCGTGGCTAGACTCCCACATGGCCGACCATGGTTTAAGTACTGGACCCGATGGCCTGAAACTCACTCCAGGCACGTGTGAATGCGTGCCCAAGATCCCAAGAGAACAGAGGAAGGAATTGTGGTGTGGCCATTCCCCCTGGGGTGATTTTTCACTTTCTGTCTCTCTTGCAAGCGCACGTGCCCTTATAGCAAAAATCTCTCTCTAAAAAAATTCTGCCTTCTCTTGAGCAGTGCATTGCTGCTATGCCCCAAGCCTCTCACTCTTTTCTCCATACAGATTCACATTTGCTTTCCTTTCCTTTTTCTTTTTAAAGAATTATCTACTGGGGTCAGCAGGTGGTATAGTGGTTAAGACACTGGACTCCCACAGGGCCGACCGTGGTTTGAGTCCTGGACCCGCTGGCTTGAAACTCACACCAGGCGTGTGTGCGTGTGTGTACACTCATGTGGGTGTGCCCAAAATCCCGAGAAGAAAACAGAGGAGAAGGGATTGTGGCGTGGCCATCCCTCCTAGGGGGTGATTTCTCACTTTGTTTTTCTCTGTCTCTCTGTGAGTACACATTCCCTATAGCAAAAATCTCTCTTAAAAATTGTTTTTTCAGTTTATTTATTATTTACTATTATTATTTTTTAAATTTGCTATAGGGCACATATGCTCACCAGAGAGAGACAGAGGGAAAGTGAGAAAGCAAGTCTCCAGGTCCATGGCCTGAGCCACGACTGGCCATGCGGGCGTCCAGTGCTGTCTGCTGCTGGCCCTCTGCCTCTGCTTTCTTCACTGCCTGTTTTAGATCCACCCCTCCTTTGTCTCCGTTAATCTCTGCCATCTAAGCTGGCACTGAATTACATTATCTCTAGAACAGTCTTACCAACTACAATAGCTTCACAGCTCATTGAGGGAAGAGATTATTTATACATTGACTAAGTACCTAGGAGTTGTCAAGGAAATATTTCGAAATGACTCCTCCATGTCCACCCCCCAATGTAGAAAATAGGGACTAGCTGAACATTTTCAAGAAAAGTAGGGGGGTAAGAGTGCTGGTTAAAGTGCTGGACTTCTACCTGGCTGACCATGGTTTGAGTCCGGACCTGGTGACTTGGTTTCTCACTTTCCTTCTCTGTCTCCCTCTGTTGAGCTCACATGCCCTATAGCAAATTACAATAATGATAATAAAATTAAGTAAATGATTATTTTTTAAAAAATAAATGGGGCCGGCAGGTGGTGTGGTGAAGATGCTAGATTCCCATATGGCCAACTGAAGTTCAAATCCCAGACCTGGCAGCTTTCTGCCTCACTTCCCCTTTCTCTCTCTGGTCAAATTAAAATAATAATAATAATAAATTAAATTAATAATTATTTTTTTAAAAATAAGTTAAAAAAATAAAAGGAGTGCTTGGGCTGGGGCCATAAACGGCGTGGTGGTTAAATTGTTGGATTCCCATATGGCCGACCACAATTCAAGTCCCAGACCTGGCAGACTGAAAATCATGTATGCATGTCCAAAATTCTGAGAGGAGAATGGAGGAGTAGGGATTGTGGTGTGGCCTTCTTACTTTTCCTCTCTCCATATCTCTCTGTCGTGTGCTTGCACCCTATGTCAAAAACCTAAAAAGAAAAATGGTGGGGGCCTTGGGCAGTGATGATGGAAGTTGGAGAAGTGGGTATTTTTGTGAGGTTTACCAAGGTAGTATGTGCTTACCAGACTGATCACCTTTAGAATGTGTCTAAAGAACTGAACCGCCGTGCTTTTCTCCAGCCTTGCCGTGACTCTGGTTCTCCCCGCCGTGCTTTTCTCCAGCCTTGCCGTGACACTGGTTCTCCTTCGGTTACTCCCTACAGTGCCCATCGTTGTCTTCTGTAAGCTGTCACCATGACCCTGACGAAAGGCTCCTTCACCTACTCCAGTGGGGAGGAGTATCGCGGCGAGTGGAAGGAGGGGGAGAAGGACTGGGGGGGGGGGGGCATCCAGTGATGAAGCTTCATTTGGCTGGAGGTCAGACAGCTCAGGATATAAATACTGACGTACTCAGCAGAGTAAAGTGAATTATTTTATGTGCCCACAATTCATTCCAATGACTTGGTTCTAGTGAATTTTAAGAACTTGGAGAGTTTCTTCGGCCAGCTGGTGGCATGGTGGTCGAGGTAGCTGGATCCCACATGGCCTACTGTGCACTTTGAAAAGACATGCAGGTTGCATATGCGTGCATGCCCAAAATCCCAAAAATATTGGAGGAGAAGAGATTGTGGCAGGACCATCCCCCAAGGGATGGGGGGGGGGTCTCATTTTCTGTCTCTCTCTCTCTCATAAACACAAACACCATCTAGCAAAAAAAAAAAAAAAGTGAAGTTAAAAAGAATTTCTGGAAATTAGGGCAGACACTGAAGTGCAAATTACATTCATGCCTTGACGTTCCTGACAGCTCATTCCACTTGCAAGTATCTATTCATAGCAATGGTAAGATTCTTCTGAGCCTGTTGTTATACAGGAAGCAGTTTTATGGTGTGCGGTTTGGAAACACAGTACGGTCACTTCAAAGTCTCATGGATCTGGTCCTAGCAAGCCAGGAACTGTCCCCACACTCGTGCAGGTAAAGGACGGTTCATGCTGTCACCAGACATGCATGTGCTCTGATCTTTTCATCTGTGGCTGATCTTTTTTTTTTTTTTTTTTTTTTTTAAGGTTTGTGCCATAGGGCGCTACGCTCACCAGAGAGACAGAAAGACAGTGGGAGGGGAAATGAGAAATCACCCCCAGAGGGGATGGCCACACCGCAAGCCATCCCTTTTTCTCCATTCTCCTCCTGGGATTTTGGGCACATATGCACACGTGCCTGGTGTAAGTTTGAAACCACTGAGTCCAGGACTCGAACCACAGTGGGCCTTGTAGGAGTCTAGCACCTTAACCACTACGCCACCTGCTGGCCCCACAGATGATAAATTTTTGAGCCCTGAGAAATTACGCAGCTGTAACATGACCTTGCATTCTAAGCCTTTTCTTCTGTCTCCCTGCTGTCCCCTTGACCATGGCCTCTTGGAGGACGGACTTCCTGAGGTTCTGCCAGCAGTCTGTGTCCGCCAAAGAGCTCCTTCCTGCTGGGGTGGAAGGGTACGACCTCCCCCAGCATCTCACTGTTGCCTGGTCCGTTCAGTGGGTGAGCACAGCCCCACTGACATGCCAGGGCTCAACCTGGACTGCCAGACCGGCTATTCAGTTTGCTCAGTAGCTTCACGGTGCTACGAGGGACTTGAATTGTTTCTCGGAGAGCAACCTAGGGGACTGTCGCGGGTTCCCAGGTCAGCTGCCTGCTGCATGTGCATTCTTGCTTAGAGCTCTGTGCTCTTGAATAAGTTACAGGTCCTCTTTGCCTCAGTTTTGCCATCTGTGAAATGAGAGCATTTAATAGGACAGTGCGTACCTCCCGGTGTCACAAGGTGAATGCAAAGTGCTGAGAAGAGTGACCAGCCCACAGTAGAGGCACCGTACATGTCAGCTATTATTATTATTAAAAACAATGGGTACGTGACCTGGCCAGAGAGAGGGCACCCCCGATGAGGCCAGTGGTCATGCTGTGGTCCTTTCCCCTCCATTTTAAGATTTGGGGCACATGTGTGCACATACCTCCTGGTTTGGTTTTCCAGATGCTGGGGCCTGGATTCACACCATGGTCGCCATGTGGGACCCAGCTGTCTATGTACTCTTAACCTCTGTGCTAAGGGGCCAGTGCAGCTATGTATTTTTTTGGCCTACCAGAGAGAGTGAAAGTGAGAAGTCACCCCCTAGGGAGGATGGCCACGCCGCACTCCCTTCTCTTTCATCCTACTCTTGGAATTTTGGGCACGCAGGCACACGTGCCTGGCATGCTTTTCAAGTCACTGGGTCCAGGACTCCCAGTGCATTCAGCCATGTAGGAGTCCAGCACCTTAACCACTATTCCATCTGCTGGTCCCCGCGATTGTTGCTTTCAAGTACTTGCTTATTGTTTATTGTTGGAGAGACCCCCACCCAATTTTGTGGTTGTGACTTAAGGTGGGAAGGTTGCAGAAGCCTGGTGGGCGACAGTTGCCTGCCCTGCCGATGTCATTGCGACTCTCTTGTCCATGGAAGGCCTAGAGGATGTTAGGTGGTGGGAAGGGGCCCTGGAACTGCCCATCCTAACCTCTCACCTGTCCTTCTCTCTGCTCAGGCCGCAGGCATGGTTTTGGTCAACTGATGTTCGCAGATGGGGGCACCTACCTGGGTCATTTTGAGAATGGGCTCTTTAATGGCTTTGGGGTCCTGACCTTCTCAGACGGCTCAAGGTAGGTATGAGGGCCCTCCTTCCTCAGCCCTGGACCAGGAAAGCGCTAATGGAAAAATGGGGCACTGTAACTATCTGGTCTACCCTGAGCTCATTTGGGCACTGCAGAAAACAGACAAGGAGAAAGCAGGTCTGGGAACCAGCAGTTAGCATAATGGCTGTGTCGCTGGACTCCCACGTAGTCGACCATGGTTTGCGTCCCGGACCTGGTGGCTTAAAACTCATGCCGGGTGCGTGTGCATGCATGCCCAAGATCCCGAGAGGAGAATGGAGGAGAAGGGATTGCGGCATGACCATCCCCCTTGGGGGGGTGATTTCCTGCTTTCTGTCTCTATGTCTCTCTCTGTCTGTCTGGCGAGCGCACGCTCCGAGCCTATAGGGAAAACCTCTCCAAAAAAAAAAAAGAGTAAGCAGGTCTTTTATTTGTTACTTTTGAAATAGATTTAAAATTTGAAATGTCAAGGAGGCAAGTGGCTTTCCACCCCCCTCTGTTCACTTACGTTCTTTCCTTGGAGTTGGGACTTGTGTCACACCGACCCTCTGAGCCTTCTCGTCTGGCGGGAGTGGGCCGGGGGCTCTGAGACCAGGGCAGTCAGCTAGCTCTTTGGTGTGATGACCTGGCATGATTGGCAGCTGCTTGACTCAGTTACCCCAGACACCCAGCTCTCTCCGAAAGCTAACATCTTGGTGTTTCTGCAGGTACGAGGGGGAGTTTGCCCAGGGCAAGTTTAATGGCGTCGGAGTCTTCATTCGACACGACAACATGACCTTTGAGGGGGAGTTTAAAAATGGCAGAGTAGACGGTTTTGGTAAGTTGCAGCCCAGCAGGGCGGGTGACCGAGGCAGGCATAATGTGGGTGGAAGTACACCTTTGTCGTTCCGTTCCGTGGATGCCCCGCCGTCCACAGTGGTGGTCCACATCAAGCCTGCCTCTGAGACCTTACTGCTGTGTCACTCCTGGCCTTCTCTGTCCCCCCAAGGCCTGCTGACCTTCCCCGATGGTTCCCACGGGCTACCTCGCAACGAAGGCCTGTTTGAGAACAACAAGCTGCTGCGGCGGGAGAAGTGCCCCTCCGTCGTCCAGCGGGCCCAGAGCGCCTCCAAGTCGGCCAGGAATCTCACCGCCTGAGCGGCCCTGGCCCGCCCACCGTGCTGGGGAGGCCCAGGCCCTGGTCACACCAAGTGATCCGCGACGGGATGCGAATGGCCGGGGAGCAGGAGCGTGCGACCTGCCCCACACCTGCCCGTCCGCAGTCTGATCGCAGGGCCACGCTGAGGGCTCTGGCCTGCAGACCCGAGCGCGGGAGCAGCTCTGCCCGTCCCCCTGCAGACCCGAGCGCGGGAGCAGCTCTGCCTGTCCCGTCCTGTCCCCTGTGCTGGGGACCCGCTCGCTGCTGCTGCTCTGTTCTGAGGCCTCGGGCTGCCTCAGGCAAGCCTGCCGTGGCCTCCGACTTCCTTTTCCACCAGCTGACCCAGAATCCCTTCATTCTGCCTACGTTTGGGGCAGGCTGTCCTCTCCCCAACTTAGGGCCAGTGCTTTGTGACACCCTGGAGAAAAAAGAGAGGGTGCCTGGCAGCAGAGTAGCCCGTGCCAGTCAAGGCCAGAGCTTCTCTGCACATCACCCCCGTTCACTGCTGGCAGGATCCATGGCCCCAGGCCCCACTGTGACCAGGACTGGTATTCGGGTCTGCTTGCCCCCTGTGGAGGACGTGATGAGAGTGTCGTTCCCTTCCCTGAGTTGACGAGCTGTCTTTCCTGAGCTGTGCTGGATAATCCCAGTCGTGCCTCGCTCCTTTCCATAGGCATTGAAGAGGATCCCTTCATGGAACAGTCGAGAGAAAACCCGGTGTGAACAGTAATCCTGTAGTTTATTACTCACTCCAGGGCAAAGGGCAGGCATATCCAGCCACGTCAGGCCCTACCCGGGGCAGGCTGAATCTCAGCCTGGCCAGGGCCGGTGGGTCTCCCCATGGGCCAGTCGGTCAGCCGTACACCCCTCGGGGCTCTGGAGGAGTCAGACCCCTCCTGGGACTGCAGTGAACCGAGAGAGCAGGTGGCTCCTTGCATCTGGCTCGCTGGAGACCCGCCGTGAGCCTTCGCCGTCAAGGCTCTCGTGATAGGGTCCCGGCACAGCTCCTCGTGGAGGCCTGCAGCTAGCGTGTGACGCAGACACCCCCAGCCCCACTCTACACCACCCTCGGCTCCAGGTTGTGGGGGCCTATAGCCGTGTGCCTCTGTTTATTCTCCGAACTGCACTGTAGGTGTTTATGAAGAATAAACGAATCTCCAGAACTGCCTCTACCTCGTTTTCCTGGCCTTCCCGCCCTGCGCACGCGACTGAATAGTGTCTGATCCCCCACCTCTACCTGTAGGAGGTGTGGACTGCTTTCCCCCTCCATCATCAAACGTCTCTACTGGCCCGCGCCACTGCCAGCTCAGGGTAGGGGTTGCATCCTAGTCCTGACTCCAGCTCTCCCCACGGTTCCCACCTGAGCTTCGAGTACCCAGGGCCAGACCTGCCGGTTACCTCAGACAAGTCACGTCACTCCCAGTTTCCCCCTGTGGTGAGAAGAGCCCCCGTCAGCCAGGCTAGCCATTATACGCGTGATCTTCACTCTGCCCTCGCCACAGCCCTGGGCAGAGGGTGCATTCGACCCTGTGTCACAGACGAGGCTCAGAGAAGTGCAGAGTTTTCTCCAAGGTCCCATCGACTCCAGGGGTTTAATCCTGAAATTAGACCCAGGCCTGCGTGAGCCTGGAGGCTGAGCCCTTACCAGGATGCTGGCCCTGGCTTTTCCCCAGGTTCTCCTTGGAGCCTGTCTCCTCTGGGAGGTGCCAGTGAGAAGAGCCCAGAGACTGAGCCCCCAGTTTTAGTGCCACTGAGGGTCCCTTCTCACTGTCTGGCCACTACCCACCACGGATTTATGCTCTTTCCTTTAGCTTCTACCCTAAATGAGGGTCTGTGTACCTCTTCTTTTCTTTTTTACCTGGTCTTTCTTGAGTCCCATTGTAGAAGACACGTGAGCGTGAACTGCTGTGTAAAGGGTGGGCAGGCTCACAGCCGGCCATGGGCCAGCAGGGGACGGGGGACCGTGGGCAGCTACCGGAAACCTTCGAAATATTTTTTCATCTCTGCAGTCCTTTGGCAGATTACTGCTGGTTTGGTAATGAAACTAATGCCGATGGTAATGACCAAAAGGATGCCAAAAACCAGGGCACAATGTTCAGGCACTTGGCAGTGAGGGGTGGGCCCGGGCCTGAGTCGCGTCGCCCACTGCCGTCCTGTCCCTAGACGTCACGGACTAGGCGGATGCGGGAAGCCCAGGCAGAAGTAGCTCAGGAAGACTGTGCTGCACAGGGAGCAGACCACGTGGCCAGGCACCAAGGTCTTGCCATGGAAATCCTGGCGAGTGCCCTCAGAGCCCCAGATGGAGGCACGCCCTGCGCATGCACCTCATGCTCTTCCTCCAGGGAGCGGGCCAGGGTTGGCATGAGAGAAGGTCTGGGAAGTGTGGTGCAGACAGCACTGGGGCGGGTTCAGATGTCGGGACAGTGCTGGGGGGACACTGTTCTATAGTTGTGATTTCTCCAAGTTTCCCTTTCCTTACCTCTCTTTTTAACCTTACTTACTTATTTATTTAATTTTTAATCCATTTATTTCCTCTGTGAGAGAGAGGCAGCATGCCCTGCAGGGTCTTAGCACTGCCATCCACCCTCAGCTTTCGGGCTGCCCCAGACCATGGACAAATATGTGCCCTTCATATCAGAAGATCTCCGGACCCAAACCCTGAACCTTTCCATGTGAGGCAGCTTACCAGGGCGTCATGCCTACCAGTGCTTCACTGTCCGGCCCCACATTTCCTTCAGTCATTCCATTCGTTTATGTGTTTGTTTTAGCTGTAGGGCATGTGTGCTCACCAGACAGAGGCAGAGTGTGTGGGGGGGGTAAAGTAAGAGCGCCCCAGGGGGATGGCCACACTGCAATCCCTTCTCCATTCTCCTCTCAGGATTTCGGGTACATGGGCCCGCCGTGCCCAGCATAATTTTTAAGCTGGTCAGTACGGATTTGAACCATGTAGTCAGTTATGTGGGATCCAGCTGCCTTAACCTCCATGCCACCTGCTGGCTCCTTCACTTGGGCTATTTATTTATTTCGAAGAGACATTTTTGCTATAGGGCACATGCATGCACCAAAGAGACAGACAGACAGTGAGAAGTCACCCCCAGGGGACATAGCCAAGCTGCATGCAATTCCTTCTCCATTCTCCTTTTGGGATTTTGAGCACTCATGTACATGCACCTGGCGTGTTTCTGATACTTTTTTTTTTTTCGGAGAGGTTTTTGCTATAGGGCACGTGCACTCACCAGAAAAACAGAGAGACAGAAAGCGAGAAATCACCCCCCAGGGAGGATGGCCATGTTGTAATCCCTTCTCCTCCTTTCTCCTCTCAGGATCTTAGGCACGTTTTCACACATGCCCGGTGGGAGTTTAAGCCACTGGGTCTGGGACTCAAACCGCAGTCAACTACATGGGAGTCCACTGAAATAGCCATTACATCAACTGCTGTTCCCAATGCCTGGCGTGTTTCAATCCGCTGGATCTGGGACTTGAACCACTGTTGACAACGTGGGAGTCCAGCAATGTAACCATTATGCCATCTGCTGGTCCCCTTACACTTACTTATTTTTTTTTTTTTGAGAGGTTTTTGCTATAGGGTACGTAGGCTCGCCAGAAAGACAGACAGAGGCAGAAAAAAAGAAATCATCCCCCAGGGGAGATGGCCATGCCACAATCCCTTCTCCTCCATTCTCCTCTTGGGATCCTGGGCACGCATGCACATGTGCCTGGTGTGGGTTTAAGCCTCAGGGTCTGGGACTCAAACTGCAGTTGACTGCATGGGAGTCCAGCGACATAGCTATTATGCCAACTGCTGGTCCCCTACACTTTTTAATAAGTAAGGTTTTAAAATTTTATGTAAGTTTGTGTTTTTTTTTTTTGTTTTGTTTTTTGTTTTTTGTGGGTTTTTTTGCCATTAGATATTACCACTAAACAGGGTTAAATCCCTTGGAGAAAACAGCCTTTTGATTAACATCTAGGTGTTTCTACATATCCCAGCTGTAAGGGTTCCCATTCAGATCTTCAGCAATCCCTTCCCCAGGCGACCGCGGATCTGTGCCCGTTTGCCCAGGACTGCGAGGGCCTCTTGGCTGAGGAAAGGCAGTGAGACCTCAGTGGCCTCTCTAAAGGTCTTGACACCTGCCAGTAAGCCTGAGATCTGCATAACAATAGTATCTGTCCAAGCACAGCCACACTAATTGTTGTTAATTGCTGGAGGCCTCAATCGCTTCTCCATTCTCTCTTTGGGATTTGGGGCACACATGTATATGTGCCCAGTTTTTCAAGCTACTGGGTCTGGGACTCGAACCGTGCAGTCAGCAAGATGGGATTCAGCCACCTTTACCACCACGTTGGCTGGCCCCAGCCACATTAATTTTATTTGTTACACTTTATAACAAATAAGAAAATGATTTTTTAAAGTTTTATTTGTTTTTACTATGATAGCACCTATTGCAGAGAGGGGGGAGGAAGCGCCCCCTAGTGGGGCCTGGTTACGCTGCAGTTCTCCAGTTCATCCTGTCAGGATTCTGGGCATGCGCAAGCTCAGAGTGAAGCCAAAGGGGTGAGGATTTGAACCCCAGTCTATCATGGGGGATCTGGCTTCCTCTGCTCAAAGCCTAACTGCTGTGCCATGGGCCAGCTCCAGAGTGATTTCTTTGAATGAAAGCTGAGCTCCTGTAGGCCAGGAAATGGCCCTGTGCTGGCCAAGTCCCTGCCCTTGTGTTTCAGACCTGGCTGGCCAGCCCAATCTTCTAGAGTGTAACGTTCACCCACTAGGTGTCATTAGTGACCCACTGACAGTCACTAGGCTGTCCCCAAGGACTGGACTTGAGGCTAGGGCCAAGACCGAGATGAGTGAACTAGTAAGATGTGGTTTAAGAAAGGCAACCCTGGCCGGAATGCAGCCTGGGGGCTTTCACAGACCAGCATATTCCTGGCCCCGTTTCCTAACCTCCGGCTTCCTGGGGAGGAGTCAGAACCAGGGTTCCTTGGAGCAGCCCTGGTTTCCAGCCACATGGTGCTAGACTCAGGGCTGAGAATAGGTGTGCGGGACGTGCCCAGTGAAAGGCGCCCTGGAGGGCGACAGGAGGGGGCGCCTCTAACTCTGACCCCCCAGGCTCTTCAGGCTGCAGGTGTGAGGGCGCAGGCTGAGGCGGGCTCAGGCCAGGCATGCTGCTCGCCCTCAGAGCCAGCCGTTGTTGGTGAAGTCCACGCGCAGCGCCTCTTCCTCGGCGGGGCTCAGCTCCTGCAAGGGGGCGCGGCAGGGACCTCCATAGTAGCCAAACCAGTCCATGGTTTTCTTCAGCCCTGGGATCCCGAAGCGCCGGGTCACCTGGGAAACAGGGCCTGTTAGAAGACACGCGGGAATCCCCCATACACACAGACCTGGGACGCAGACGTCTGTCACTTTTGGAAAACTGGGGTCCCCTCCAAGTAAAGCAGCCCTGCCCCATCTGAGGCGCCCAGGGTAGGTTGAGCGTCCAGATCTAGAGCTAGAAAGCGGGTCAGTAGCAGCAAAACACAAACACCGCTGAGGGGGCAGAAGCCCTCCCTAGATTGCAGGAGAAGAACCTGCCTCTGGGGAGGACAGTGGCACTGAGTCCTCAGGCCGAGATGGGAGAAGGTGTCCAGAAGGTGGTTCAGGTCCTGGGCTCTCACGGAGCTGACCGCAGTTAGAGTCCAGACCTGGTGGCCTGCTGTCTTATACCACCACTGCCATTTCTGTCTCTCTGGTGAGTGTATGTATCCTGTAGCAAATTAAAAACATAATAATAAATTATTCTTTTTTTTTTTTTTTAGAGAGAGATATTTTTGCTATAGGGCATGTGAGCTCACCAGAGAGACAGAAAGCGAGAAATGACCCCCCAGAGGGTATGGCCATGCCACAATCCCTTCCCCTTCACTCTCCTCTCGGGATTTTGGCCACATACACACTCCTGGCATGAGTTCTAAGTCACTGGGTCCAGGACTTGAACTGCAGTAAACTACAGGGGAGTCCAGCAACGTAACCATTACGCCATCTTTCCAAAAAAAAAGAAACAGAGTGCAGGTCTGGGCACTAGAGCATCACTCAGAGTACAGCAGGCTGGGGGTGGGAAGGAAAGGGTCTGAGTCTCGGGACAGCCAAGACCTCTACTCCCCTTGCATTAAGGTCCCCACCACTCACAGCTCCTCCCTGACCCCAACTCCAAAGTCTTTCTCATACGAAAAACAATATCACGTTGTCCAAAGAAGTTGTTATGTGGCGCTATGCCGTTTATTCATGATCTCTGAGCAAGTTCTCTTGTCTAAAACGCCGGAGGGCTGGGCCAGACAGTGGCTGTTGGTTAAGGTGGCTGGATTCTAGGTGGCTAGATTCAAGCCCTGGACCCTGCGGCTTGAGAAACACATCTGGTATGTGTCCGAAATCCTGAAAGGAGGATGGAGAAGGGACTGCAGCTTCGCCATCTCACTTTCCCTCTCTCTGTCTCTCTGGTGAGTGCACGCACCTTATAGAAAAAACATTCTTTTTTTGAGAGGTTTTAGGTACAGGGTGCATGCACTTGCCAGAAAGAGAGAAACAGAAAGACAGAAAGCAAGAGATCACCCCCCAGGGGGATGGCCATGCGGCAATCCCTTCTCCTCCATTCTCCTCTCGGGGATCTTGGGCACACACGCACATGCGCCCGGCATGAGTTTAAGCCACCGGGCCCGGGACTTGAACAGCAGTCGACTACATGGGAGTCCAGCGACATAGCCATTACGCTAACTGCTGGTCCCCTAAATAATTCTTTTTTTAAAAAAAGACCGAGACAGAGATGGAAAGGAGGTGCTTTGAGAAAAGCTTGCCCCCACCCTGGGTTCCTGAACACATCTGTTAGGCCCCCTCTTCTGACACTCAGAGTGTGTGAGGCTGAGTGCCTCGGTGATAAAGACCATGGGAAACCCCAATCCTCGCTGGGGGCAGAGGCCTGTGGGGTGAGAAGACAGGAGGACACTGTGTTCCACCAGGGCAGGGTGACATCAAGCTGCCCTCGGGGTGTCTGAGCTACAGCCCCGGCAGCAGCAAGGTGTCTGGCCTTCCTGGAGCATGCTCAGAGCTGGGACAGGAGAGGGACATGGTGAAGGGTGAGGCGGGCTGGCAGCAGAGGGCTAGGATGGCAGCGAGGCATCCCCTCTTCCCAAGGGGCAGCCCCAGCTGCTCCGTCTGTAACACCTCCTCAGAGCTATCACAAGGCTGGATGAGAAAACCCCACTAATATTAGAGCAGTCCCCTAGAGCCCTGAAAGCTTCTCCTCTTCCTATCCTAGTGGTAGGCAGGTTCTGGAACCTTCTCTTTCACAGGCAGATGGGAGTAAGACAGTGAGGTCCTGTCCCGAGAGTATCTTGTTACGTACAGGGCAGCCAGTGCTGATGGGGATTAGCTGAAAACCCCTCGTTTTACATGCTCTTTTCTTTTTTTTTTTTTCCTTTTTTTCTTTTTCGCTATAAGGTGTGTGCATTTGCGCGAGAGACAGAGAGACAGAAAGCAAGAAATCACCCCCCAGGGGGGATGGCCACACCACAATCCCTTATCCTCCATTCTCCTCTCAGGATCTTGGGCACGCACACACACATGCCTGGCGTGAGTTTAAGCCACTGGGTCTGGGACTCGACTACATGGGAATCCAGCAACATAGCCATTATGCCAACTGGTCCCTCTGCATGTTCTTATGAGCTATCTATAGTGCGGACCCCAGGAGGGCCTTTTACGCCCGGGAGACGTATGCTCGCCTCATTAGCTGTCTTTTCTTTTTTTTTTTTTAAAGAGGTTTTTGGCCCTTGTGCTTCCATGGGGGGTGGGGGGAGATATTTTTGCTGTAGGGTACGTGCGCTCTCCAGAAAGACAGAGACAGAGACAGAAAGTGAGAAATCGCCCTCCTAGGGGATGGCCACGCCACAATCCCTTCTCCTCCATTCTCCTCTCAGGATCTTGGGCACGCACACACACATGCCTGGCGTGAGTTTAAGCCACTGGGTCCAGGACTCGAACTGCAGTCGACTACATGGGAGTCCAGAGACATAGCCATTATGCTAACTGCTGGTCCCTTTGGCTATCTTTTCTCTAGCTCTGAGCTTATCTGCCCCTTTGAGTTAAGGATAAAACCATGAGGGACAGGGCCAACAGGTGGCGTAGTAGTTGGTGCTGGATTCCCACAGAGTCAGCCATGGTTTGAGTCCTAGTGACTTGAAAATCATACCAGGTGTGTGTGTGTGAACTGAAAATCCTGAGAGGAGAGTGGAGGAGAAGGGATTGCAGTGTGACCATCCCCCCTGGGAGGGGTGATTTCTCACCCTCTTTCTGTCCCTCTCTCTCTCTGTCCCTCTGGCAAGTGCATGCACCCTATGGCAAAAACCTATAAAACAAAAACAAAACAAAACAAAAAAAAACTGTGAGGGAGATCAAGAGCTCTCCTACCAGACAAAACATTGCTGGACCCCTGCTCAGGCTGCTGGCAAAGTTGAGGGAGATGCCAAAAAACCTCAGTTATGAAGATAAAAATATGTCAGTGAAACTTAGGAAATAACAAAAATTAAAAACCAGTGCAAACAAAAAATCACGAGTGCAAAAATTCGTGTGAACAAAGTTTTAAATAAAGACAGGACCTGCCATGTTGCCGGCCGAGGCGAAAGTAAACATGTGTACCCCCACGTGTGTGTTTTCGTGTCTTTTTTAATGGTTAAATTTTTCCTAAAAGTAGATTTGAAGAAGAAAACTATTTTGATGAGTTTGCTTCCATTAAAGCTGGGAAAGTAAAATAATAATAAATTATGGGTTTTTTTGGAGAGGTTTTCGCTATAGGGCGTGTGTACTCGCCAGACAGACAGAGAGAGAGACAGAGAGACAGAAAGCGAGAAATCACCCCCCAGGGGGGATGGTCACGCCGCAATCCCCTCTCCTCCATTCTCCTCTCGGGATCTTGGGCACGCACGCACACGCGCCTGGCATGAGTTTTAAGCCACCGAGTCCGGGACTCAAACTGCGGTTGACTACGTGGGAGTCCAACGACATAGCCATTCCGCTAACTGCTGGTTCCCCAATAAATTATGTTTTTGGCATAGGTAAAATATTTAGACCAAAAATAATGCTGTAGACCTACTTTTATTTATTTATTTAGGTTTTTACCATAGGGCACATGTGCTCACTGGAGAGAAATGGAGAGAAGTAAAGTGAGAAATCACCCCCCAGGCAATGGCCATGCCACAATCCCTTCTCCATTTCTTCCTGGCGCCTTGGGCATGAATGCACATGTGTCTGGAGTGATTTTCTTTTTCCTTTTTTTAAAAATTATTATTTAATTGTATTTATTATTGTTGTTATTTTTTAAATTTGACCAGAGAGTAAGAGAGGAAAAATGAGAAAACCAGCCACTAGGTCCAGGACTCGAAAAGCAGTCGGCCGGCTTTGTGGGAGTCCAGCGCCTTCAGCACCTTAACCACCACGCCACCTGCTGGCCCCAGTATACCTACTTTTTAATTCAATATTTTTTTCAGGTACTTTAGTGTTCTACGGAGGAAAATCATCTTTGAGAAAAAGATTTAGAGCTTCCACTTTCAAGAAGGCGGAGCAGGCGTTCCTGTTCAGGGAGGAATCGTCCCTATTTATTGAAAGGAATAGGGATAATTCCTCCCAATAAATACAACCACAGGCCTAGCCTGGTCGCGCAGTCGGTAGCAAACCAGACTGTACTGCTGGGAGCCACTGGCTGGCTGCGAGTTCAGACCCCAGGTCACCTGAAAGCCCACCAGGCACGTGCGCACACGCCCGAGATCTGCCGAGCTGGAGCTGGAAGGGGACTGCTGTGTGAGGAGACCCTGTCAGGTGTGTTTCTCTCTTTTTCTCATGTGCACACACATGCTCTCTGTCATAGATAAAAAGAAATAGACGTTTTAAAAGATACAACCAAACACCCTGCATTTTTTTTTTTTTTTATTTTAGGACTCATGTGCTTGCGTGAGAGGGAAAGTGAGAAATCGCCCCCCCCCCACCAAGGGGACCAGCAGTTAGCGTAATGGCTATGTCGCCAGGGGGAATGGCCATGCCGCAATCCCTTCTCCATTCTCCTCTAGGGATCTTGGGCACGCACGCACACGCGCCCGGCATGAGTTTAAGCCACCGGGTCTGGGGCTCGAACCACGGTCGACTACATGGGAGTCCAGTGACATAGCCATTACGCTAACTGCTGGTCCCTTATTATTATTATTTTTAAAATTTTGACCAAAGAGGGAGAGAGAGAGAGAGAGAGTGAGAAAGCAAGCTGCCAGGTCCAGGACTCAAACCACGGCCGGCCTTGTGGGAATCCAGTGTCTTAACCACCACACCACATGTCAGCCCCAAAATAATTTTTTCTTTTAATTGACAGAAGGTGCATGTGCTCGCCAGAGAGAGACAGAGAGACAGAAAGGGAGAAGGAGAGAGTGCCCCATAGTGGAGTGTGGTCACACTGCAATCTCTTTGCCTCCATTTCTCCATCCTGTTTTTTTTTTTTTAATCAAATATTTATTTATTTAATTTATTACTATTATTGTTATTATTTTCAAGTTTGCTATAGAACACATATGCTCACCAGAATGAGACAGAGAGAAAGTGAGAAAGCAAGCCACCAAGTCAGGATTCAAACCCCAGGTGGCCATATGGGAGTCCAGCACTCCAACCACCATGCCACCTGTTGGTCCCCATCCTGCTAAGGTTTTGGTTGCACACACACGTTTGGCATGTTTCTCAAGTCACAGGGGCTGGGATTTGAACCATAGTCGGTCATGTGGGATTTGCCTCCCTTAGCTACTAGGCTATGGAGCCGACCCCTTCCCCAAAATGAATTCTTTTTCTTTTTATTTTTTTAAGAATAACTTATTGGAACCAGCAGGTGGCATAATGGTTACATCGCTGGACTCCCATATAGCCACAATTCGAGTCCTGGACCTGGCGGCTTAAAACATGCTCAACGCGTGTGCATGCACACCCAGAATCCCAAGAGGAAAGTGGAGGAGAAGGGATTGGGTCATGGCCATGCCCCCCGGGGGGTGATTTCTCGCTTTCTGTCTCTCGGTCTCTCTGGTAAGCACACTCACCCTATATGCCCTATAGCAAAAAGCTCTCTAAAACAAACAATGAAAAACTTATTTATTTAATTTTATTTTAAAACATTATTATTATTATTATTATTATTATTATTATTATTATTATTTTAACTTGCTCTAGGGCACCAGAGAGAGGGAAAGTGAGAAAGCAAGCCACCAGATTTGGGACTTGAACCAAAGTCAGCCATGTGGGAGTCCAGCCATCTGCAGTCCCCCAAAATAAGTTCTTTAAAAAAAAACTAAACATAACTTTTCAGCTAAGAACGCAGAAAAACTGGATCTCTCATCCATTTACATTAGTGTCAATGTAAAATGGTCCAGCCGCTGTGAAAACAGCCTGGCAGTTTCTTAAAAAACTAAAAACATGTAGCCACCACGCAGCTTCCCATGGCATCGCTGTGTACTGATCTCCAAAAGATCAAACTGGTGGTTACACAAACCCTGGGGGCCGGCAGGTGGCGTGGTGGTTGAGGCACTGGACTTCATGTGGCCCACTATGGTTTGAGTCTGGGACCTGGTGCCTTGGCTTCTCACTTTCGCTCGCTCTCTCTCTCTCTGTCTCGCTGTCTCGCTCTTTCTAGTGAGCGCTCACACACTATAGCAAACCTAAGAAATAATAGTAACAGTAAATAAAATTAAATCAATCATTTTTTAAAAATAACCTATACACAAATGCTCATGGCAGCTTTTACTAGCCAAGTCCTGGAAACAATCCCTCTGTTCTTCAAGAGGTGACTTGGGAGGACCAGCAGTTAGCGTAATGGCTATGTCGCTGGACTCCGGTGTAGTCGACCATGGTTCGAGTCCCGGACCCGGTGGCTTAAACTCACGCTGGGCACGTGTGCGTGCGTGCCCAAGATCCCAAGAGGAGAATGGAGGAGAAGGGATTGTGGTGTGGCCATCCCCCCTTGGGGGGTGATTTCTCGCTCTCTGTCTTTCTGGTGAGCACACGCGCCCTATAGCAAAAACCTCTCCAAAAACTAAAAAAGAGGTGACTTGGTAACACAGGCTGGGTACAGCCAGAGTGTAGACCACTGTTCTCTGATAAACAGAACTGGCTATTGATACACACGACAGCCTGGGTGACTCTCCAGAGAATTAGGCTCAGTGAACAAAAGCCTATCCCGAAAGTTATCTACTACACGACTACACCAGCATAACTTGCGCCAGTGGAACGAGGACAGTAGTGAACATACTTGTGGTCGCCAGGGGATGAGGAGGGGCGGAGAGGTGTGGCCATAGAGGCTGACATGAAAGACCTTTGGGGTTTAGGAAACAGTCCGCTTCTCGACTGTATCTGTGTCAATATCCTGGTGCGGTCATTCTGTAGTCCTGTAAGATGTTATCGCTGGGGGAAGCTGGGTAATGAGTAGACGGATCAGGGCCAGCAAGTGGTGTGGTGTTAAGGCTCTGGATCCCATGTGACCAGCTACATGGTTCGAGTCCCAGACCCTGAGGCTTGAAAATCATGCCAGGTGCATGTACATGTGTGCACAAAATCCCAAAAGGAGAATGGAGAAGGGATTGTGGTATGGTCACCCTCTCTGGAGAGTGATTTCTCACTTTCCCTCTCTCTGTTTCTCTCCAGCAAATGCATGTGCCCTAGAGCAAAAGCCTAAAAAAGAGTAGAAGGGATCTTTTTGTGTGTCTTTCAATTTGCATGTGACTCTACAATGACCTCAGAATAAAAAGTTTCATTTAAAATGTACATAAAAAGTATATATTGGGGTACACATTTTTCTCTGTGCTTTGGACTACAGGTGTTCCATCTAAGTCTTCTCCTTGGTACGCCACCTGACTGTAGAATAGCGCATTTATTTTTTTAATTTTTTATTTTTTTGTGAAGAGGTTTTTGCTATAGGGCACGTGCGCTTGCCAGACAGAGATTGACAGAGAGAAAGAAAGTGAGAAATCACCCCCCAGGGGAGATGGTCACGCCGCAATCCCTTCTTCTCCATTCTTCTCTTGGAATCTTGGGCATGCACGCACACGTGCCCGGTGTGAGTTTAAGCCACCGGGTCCGGGACTTGAACCGTGGTCGACTACATGGGAGTCCAGCGACATAGCTAACTGAAGCGCATTTAAAGACAGAGCTCTGCTGGGAGGCCTGGGCTCTGAGTCCTGCCGGCTTCCCACTGCCCCCGGCCCCTGCAGAGCTGACCTCGAGGTCGTGGCTCCCTCTTTGCAGGTAGCACATCTGTCAGTGTGCCTGGATGGCACGCAGGGTCGTCCCGCATTCCCGGGCCCTCGGGGAACTGAATGCACACTAAGCTGTGAACCGTAGGACTCCACGGTGTCTGAAGTCAGGACTTTCTGGGGAGGCACAAAAAGTTCCCACACTGGGATGTTTTTCTAAAAGGACTTCCAGAAAGAGAAGAGACGGAGTGGGGACCCTGCCAACCCTGGGTCCCTGCCCGCCACCCTTGGCCGCCGTTGGCCCGGAGCTCACCGCGGCGTTTGGCTCGATGAGGCGAAGCTGCAGTTTCTGGGCGTCTTCCCACTGCCCTGTGAGGCAGAGCCGCTCCAGCTGGCACAGCTGCGCCCCCAGGACGTTGGCCAGGGCACACACGCCCCCCGCCGCTCCTGCCCCAGGTGAGATGCAGAACATCAGCCACAGCCTCTCCCCCAGGGAATCCCACACCCTGGCCCTCCAGCCCTCCTCATCCCGGGAACCTGGGGGTGGATCTCAGTGCCACTGGCTGGCCACGTCAAATGCATGTTCTGTGCATTCAGGGCACACATTTCCAGAGAGAAAAATCGGGCTGCATATTCAAAACACAACCCTGCAGGAGGCCGGGAGCTGCTCTGAACGTCTGTGAAGAGCATGGGCAGGGCTGAAGGCCAGCTCAGGACAGGCCCCTCCCTGCATCCCACACCACCACACACGAAGGCCCCCTGCCAGTCCACATTTCCAGCGTTCCTCCCATAGCCCCGACAGGACTCATCCGTCCGGGAAGGGGGTGGAGTGGATGGGAAGCCTTCTCTCTCCTGAAATCTTATCCCCCCCGGTGAATTCAGCCTGGACAGCAGTGGGGGTTGGGTGGGGTGGGAGTGGGGGAGGGAAAGAACTCTCTGGGCAGGGTCCGGAGGCCGGGCACCTCCTCCCATTGGCCACAAGAACTTGGGCAAGTCTCAGACCCTCTCTGGTCCTTCCTTCTCAGCTGGGCAGTGGAAACGGGCTGGCTGTGGTCTCGGCGAGCCCCTGCACCTCTGCCAGCCTGCCAGCCCGCCAGCCCGCCGGCGTGACTCCAAGGCTAGTTAGGACTGACCCTGAGCGCCGTGGCCTCAGGACTGAGGGGAGAGTAGGTCACTTGGAGTGAGCTAATAGAGCTGTCATTTATAGAATCCCACCATGTGCCAGGCGTTATGACAGACACGGGCTGGTGCCCTCCATCCGTCACTGTGACCCAGCTGAGTCAGAGAGAATCAAAGCGACTCTGGACAGTACTTATCTGGGAGTCCATCGGAGCGCGTTGAGCCCTAGGAAAGTTGGTCTTCATCTTTCACCTCCCCCACCGTGAGTCCTACAGGGTGATCCCGTCACCCCCTCACACTGCAGGTGCCCAGTGCCTGACAAGCCTGCTGAGCCTTTACAGATACTGGGTGTGGACACAGGGAGGGCGAAGATGCCACCAGTCCCCCCCTGAATGACAGGCTGAGATCTTATCAACTTTGTCATCGCAAGTCCACACCTAGACCGCTGCTGCCTATAAAGCGGAGTCTAAGAATTGTCGTGACTGATTGCATTTTGTTTCTGCTGCCTTCTTAATCGCTGCTTATCTTTTTTTTTTTTTAAAGGGATATTTGTTATAGGGCACATGCACTCACCAGACAGAAAGAAAGAGAGACAGAAAATGAGAAATCGCCCCCCAGAGGGGATGGGCATGTGCAATCCCTTCTCCTCCATTCTCCTCTATGGATTTTGGGCGGGCACGCACACGTGGCCAGCGTGAGTTTCAAGCCCAATCACTTCTTATCTTTAAAGCCCTCAGAGAGAGTTGAAAGCAGGCATGCTGTGCAGCATTTGCAGACAGAAGCGCCCCTCACGCAGCGGCGTCAACCCCTGACACTGCCGCGTCCCCTCTGATCCCGCCCCGCAGGCTCCCAGGCCTCCTTGTGGTTCTGCACCAAGGCGGTGAATAGCTTGCCCCTGGCTTCTCCATGGGCTCTCCCACTGGCCCTTCCTGGGTGCGTTTTGCATGGCGTCCAGCGTGGCAGAGGTGACTAGGACTCCAGTCTGCGCTCTCCCTGAGGCTGGCCTCCCTGATTAAATCTGTTCTCACCGGTTCCCCTCTCTTGGTCAAGTGACCAAGGCGGGGACCTGGCTTCTGGTTCTCAGAATGAGCACTCCTGCCCTTCTGGCACCATCACACACCTCTCTGCTTTTTAGAGTTGAAACGCAGGCCCAGAGGGTTGAGTGCCTTGCTCAGCATTGCCAGTGAATTAAAGGCGAAGCTGGGCTTCCAGCCTGGACCCCAGCCTCCAGAGCCTGTGCTCCCTCTCTGCCTTACTCTCAGGAATGTGGGGAGGGGTCCTGACAAGGCAGACGGCGATGCGCGAGGGCCCACGCACAGCACGCCAAAGTCTGCCGAGACCAGGGGGAGCAGGGGCCAGTGCTGTCCCCTGCAGTCCAAGAAAAGCCACTCAAATCTGCGCTCACTGGATATTCAGCTGAAGGGAGCAGATGCTTCTCCCTCTCCCACTCCCCTCGAGGGCTAGAGTCCAGTCTCCCCTCCAGGCCTCCAATTCCTAATGGACACCCGCAGCTGCTCTGAGTGGCATTCTTAGGGTCCTGCCCTGGAGCAGAAGCTGACAGGCAGCTGAAGCTCCTGGCCTGACCCTGGAAGTCTGACCAATCAGTCCTGGGGCCTGGGGCCTGGGGCCTCGGGAGGAAAACTGGACCCCTGGACGAGGGGGCGGGTCACGATCTCTGCCCTCAGAGCATGATTTACAGTGGGAGTTTAGAGGAGCTAAATTTGTCATCTGAGCACGGAGCTCGTTAGGCATCCCTATTATGGGCCAGCGATGGTATGTGTCCGCCCTCCTCTTCTTCCTCCCAACAAGGTAACGCTCAGCTCCCACCATGCGGACGAGCGAGCAGGTGGCCAGCTTTCTGAGGTTTCAGAGCGGGTACGCTGACACACGGCGCTCTGCAGATCCAGCCCAGCCCTGTGATGCCCGGCAACAGCTGCCTGGTGCACCTTGGTCCCCCACGACGATCTCCGGGCAGCAGGCAGCTTACCTAAGGCATAGCTGGCCAGCAGGAAGCCAGCTGACCCAGCCAGCACCTGGAAATCCTGCCTTCTGGTCTTGTGAACAATCAGTCCGATCCTGGTCACCTGCAGTGGCAAACATGGCGTGAGCCCTGGGCCCAGAGCTAAGGGGCCTGGGCCACTGGTCTGCCAGGGCTGGGCAGGTAGCAGAATGAGAGCCCAGTTCCCAGAGAGATGCCCTAACGTGCAGATTAAGCCCCAGAAAGCCCACCTGATGGAGAGAACCCAAACTGGAGGGGCCAGCAGGTGCCATGATGGTTAAGGTGCTGGACCCCACACGGCCAATTCTGTGGTCTGAGTCCTGGACCCGGAGGCCTGAGAAACACAGTGGGTGTGTGCATGTGTGTCTAAAGTCCCGAGAGGAGAATAGAAGAGAGAGAATTGCAGCATGGCCATCTCCCTTGGGGGGTGGCTTCTCACTTGCACTCTCTCCATCTCTCTCTGTAGACCACACACGCCCTGTGGCCAATAAATAAATAAATGAAAAAGAGAGAGAGAGAGAACACAAACTGGAGCCCAGGACTGAAACGAATCTCAGAGCTTCCCCGCAGTTGGCGGCACAAGTGCCAGGGCTCAGAGAAGGAGGGGCCTGAGCCGGGAACCGCTGCCACTCACATCGCCACCGCTGTCCTTCATGCCCACGATATTCGGGTGCTGGGACAGCGTGACCACCGCATCCACGGGCAAGTCCAGTCCTGTGTTGGCCGGGACGCTGTACAGCACCACGGGGATTGGAGAGAGGTCAGCCACCTGTGGGTGCAGAGAGGAGAGGGCAGTCTGGGTCTCGAGCCGCGCCTCACCCACCGGCAGGCCCCAGCCTGCGTCACTGCAGAGCTACCCGGACAGCTCGCCTCCTCGGCGCTGAGCCACCAGGGCCACATACTCTGATGGTCTGCAGTCACAATGGGTCGTGATCACTGAGTGCTTTCTATAATATAGGCCAGGTCTGGGCTGGCAGGTGGCATGGTGGTTAACGGGCTGGACTCCCACATGGCCCACTGCGGTTTGAGTCCCAGACCTCGTGGCTTGCTTTCTCACTTTTTCTCTCTCTCTTCCTCTCTGGTCAAATTAAAATAAATAAAGTTAAATAAAATAATTATTTAAATACATATATACAGCCCAGCTCTGAGCCCTCTGTGTTTCTGATCTCATTTCATCTTCACCAAACCCTGTGAGGTAGGTCATTATTCCTCCCATTTCAGAGGGACACGGTGACACAGAGCGCTGGGCAAGTCACGGGCTGGTACGCGGTGGCACCTGCCCCCAGCTGCTCTCCACGGGAAGTAGATTCGGCACCCCCCTCCCGGCTTCCCTCCCCTCTCCTGGGACCGTGTGGCCGCCTGCTCCAGCCTCCCCGGGGTCCAGCCCACACCAGCCCTGCTCACCCACCTTGGTGTAGTGCTGAATGAGGGCGGCACTGCTCATGCGGCCCCGGTAGTAGCAAGGGGTCACCACCATGGCGGCGTCAGCCCCCACCTGGGCCATGCTGACGGTCATCTCCACCGTGGCTTGAGTGGCTGCGGGAGGATGCAGGGAGGTAGGGACAGGACATGAGGGCAAACAAGGGGGGCCCCAGCGTAAACAAGGGGGCCCCCAGCGTCTTACGGAAGCGGCAGAACAAGTACACGGAACCCGACCCCAGGGCCGAGGGGCCTGGGCCCGACCCGCACAGCCACCCCCAGCGCCCAGCCAAGGCCGTTCTCTCACACTCGCAGCCGGAGCCGGCCAGCAGGAGCTTGTTCTTGGGCATGACCTGGCGCACGCGGCTCACCACCTCCAGGCGCTCGCTGCTGGTCAGGAACGGGAACTCGCCGCTGGAGCCCTGGACCACGAAGCCTGCAAGAGAAGCCTGGTCACACCTTCCCCCTTCTACCGACGTCGCTGGTGTTCAGCTCTCGCCCAGGCTCCTGCCTCCCCCCAGCACCTCTGCTTTTCACACATTCCCTTCCCATCCCCGTCCTGACAGACAGGTGCAGTGACTGGTCATGTCACTGCTGTAACGACATGGGTCAGCCACACCGAAAGGGTAGATACAGAATCCACCTCCGTGTACCCAGTACCGTGGCGGCCCTGCCCCAAACACCCTCCTCCTCGGCTCCCCATCCACACGCAGGGTTTACGATCCCCTTCATGTCGGACACACAGATGGGCCATGAGCAAGCTATGCTACGGGCTTTGCCATGTTACACTTTGTAGAAATGAAGTCAGACTTACATAATCTGCCATTTGCTGGGTTTGCCCGATATTATTATATTGCATTGTTTATTTCATGAGTGAGAGACAGACAGACTTCCTTGACAGGGTCCTGACATCACAATCCACCCCCAGGTGCCTTCAGCCCTGGAACCCGGGCATGTGTATGCCTGCCATTCACAGGGAGGCCTCTGGAGCCTCCCCCAAGGTCAGCCTCATGGTGCTGCATTTCAATGCTGTGCCCAGACCCTTGGTGTGTTTTAAGCTTTCTCTATCACAGCCCAGTGACGCTCCGGTTCATTGATTTTCATTGTTGTATGGTTAGACCATGCCTTCTTTTTCTTCTTCTTTTGGTTTGATTTGCCAGAGGGTGTGTGCATTCACCAGAGAGACAGAGAGAGGTGGAGAGGGAGACAGCATCTCCCAACGGGGTGTGGTCACTCCGCAACCCTTCTCCATGCTGTCGCGATCTGGGGCATAAACCGCGTGCACCTGTGTGCCCAACTACTGGGGCTGGGATTTGAACTGTGCAATTGGCCACATGGGATCTGGATCCCCTAACCATCAGGCCACAGAGCTTGCCCCACGATTTATTTTTCATTCTCTACCTGAAGACAGAATGTTTCCCTCTTTTCGCTATCGCAAGCGAAGCTGAACGAACATTTTCTGTGGAGCTTTCTGTGCTGTATGTCTCAGAGCTCCCCCAGAGTTCAGACACCTGCAGTCAGTCAAAGCTTCAGGCCCCATCCCAGTTACTCGGTGTCTACCTCGCCCGCAGCCTCGAGGAGGTGGCTGGTGGCCACCCATGCCAACTCGGTATCGTCAGAACTGACTTGCCAATTTCCTGTGTGAAATGTCATAGTTCATTATTTATTTTGTATTTTCCTGTTTTATCCATTAGTGATTTGAGAGGTTCCTAACATGTACCAGTAACAGGTATTAACCCTTAAATTTCTTCAAGAGACAGGTGGAATTGATGCTTTTCAGCTGAATAAAAGGGAAACGTTAGAATCATTTTCCTAAGTTTTTTCATCTAACCTTCCCCTCCACTCCATTCTACTAAAAAAAAAAAAAAAAAAAAAAAGCAAAACTCAAGAATGATACAAACATTGGGACCAGCAGTTAGTGTAATGGCTATGTCGCTGGACTCCCATATAGTCGACTGCGGTTTGAGTCCCGGACCCGGTGACTTAAACTCATGCCAGGCGCTTGTGCGTGCGTGCCCAAGATCCCGAGAGGAGAATGGAGGAGAAGGGATTGCGGCGTGGCCATCACCCCTGGGGGGGGTGGTTTCTCAGTTTCTGTCTCTCTATCTCTCTCTGTCTTCCTGGCAAGCACACACACCCTATAGCAAAAAATAAATAAATAAAATAAAATAAAAAACCTCTCCAAAAGAAAAAAAACAATATAGCATATAATACAATAGGATTATCAATCAGGACAAGGATCAAGACCAGCAGGTGGTATGGTGGCTAAGGTGCTGGACTCCCACATGGCCAACCGCAGTTCAAGTCCTGGATCTGGCAGCTTGCTTTCTCACTTTATCTCTCTCTCTCTGATGAGTGCATGTGCCCTATGGCAAATATAATATAATAATAAAATAAAATAATTCCTTTAAAAAACAAAAAGCACAAGGATATTTAGGAGAAGGAAAAGAAAATGCAGCCAGGGGCAGTGTTGTCATGCAAAATTCCTACCACGCACTTGAGAGGTGAGCCATAAATTCGATTGGGAGCTTCCCAATAATCAAAGCTAAAAGGGAAACACGGTCAGTGAACAGATATGTAGAACCCAAAAGATAAAGCAGAGCAGCTGCCTGGAGAGACACAGAGTTTCCTGGCACTAGGGCCAAGAGAGATTGTTCCCGTGAGTCATCCTTAACAGGGACACGGTGTAACGTGGACTCCACTTCACGTCACAGACCTATTCCCACGCTGTTCGCCACGCTGTGAGAGTCTGCTGGGTGGGTTGCCAGGGTAGCTTTCACTGGATATTTCACTTTTCCTTTTTTAAAAGAGAGATTTTTGCTATAGGGCTCGTACACTTGCTGGGGAGGCAGAGACAGAGAGACAGAAAGTGAGAAATCACCCCCCAGGGGAGATGGCCACGCCACAATTCCTTCTCCTCCATTCCCCTCTCAGGATCTTAGGCACGCACGCACATGCACCTAAGTGTGAGTTTCAAGCCACCGGGTCCCAGACTCCAAACGTGTCAGCCATATGGGGAGCCCAGCAACTCAACCACTACGCCATCTACTGGCCCCAATATTTCATTTCCTAAAAAAGTCTAGCTTTTTGCCTTAGGTGGTTGTAGGGAACATCTTTTTTTTCTCTTTTTTCTTTCTTTTTTTTTTTTTCAAGAATTATCCATTTAATTCCATTTACTTATTAATTCATTTATTTTAATTTGACCAGAGAGAGAGAGAGCGAGAGAAAGGTCTGGGACTTGAACCATGGTTGCCCATGTGGGAGTCTAGCACCTTAACCACCATGCCACCTGCTGGTCCCCAACATCTTAATGCAAGTTGCTTTTGGCTTGGGATGGCTTGCCTCTGTGATGACTGCTCTAAGTCAGGCTGGGAGCCGCAGAGAAGAGCCTCCCAAGTCTCTCTGCAGAAGGCCCTAGTGCTTTGCCAGGGGGTCGGACCCATGTCAAAAGCTGGTATGCCACACCCCTGGGTGAGGGCTCCCAGGTGGGACCAGCCCCTTTGACTAAGGATTCAGAGAGAGCAAGCTCTTCCTCCATTCGAATACCTAAGACACTTCCCTCCCATCCTGCGGGCCACCCTGGGATGCAAACTCTTGCCACAGTCACTGTTGCAGCCCATCACTCCCTTCCACGTCACTGTCCATCCTACTGGCCGGTTCTAGAGACCCTGGGGTCCTCCAGGTGGAGCCTGCCTGAACGGCTGGACAGCGGGGTCTTATGCTTCGGGAGATAGAAGCAGGCCCCTGTGCTCAAGGCTCCCCCGGCACAGCCTCCCTCCTGTCCCAGCTGAGAGATCACCTGGCCCAGGCCCGACTCCCAGCGAAGAAATCCAGGCTGGGGAGGAGGCAGTGAGGTGTGGCTGGAAGGTGGGGAGGGGACACCAGACTCTGAAGTTCTCTCGGCTGCTGAGCAAGCCTTCACATCTCTGAGCCTGCTTCCTTTCCTGCAAGCCTTCACATCTCTGAGCCTGCTTCCTTTCCTGCAGGGCGGCAAAGCACTTCGGTCCTACCTTACTGGGCTGCTTTAAAGACTCACAGAAGAAAATGTGGGCCCATGGCACGGCAGTAACACACCCAGACCCACATGGAGGACCTCCCTGAGTACACGTGCTGAGCGCAGGCGCCCCACAGCAGGCCAGCGGAGGCTGGGAGTGGGTCACAGTGTGAGGACACCCTTGGGGGTACCTCTCTGTCTCTGAAGAAAGAAATAAACTAAAAAGGAAAAAAAGAAAGGAAGAAAGGTACCCGGAAACACTGAAATCTGTCAGCTAGTGCCTTAAAGAGCCCCCTCCTTCATCCTAGCTAGATGACCAGCTGCAGGCCTGGGTCCTCTGCCAGTGTGGACACAGGTCAGGGGTCCCTACTGGGTGGGGGCATGGCAGGGAAGCAGGGGGGCAGTATAGAGTGTGGCTCTGAGGTCAGAGAAGCCTGGGACTAACTCTCAGTGTGGCCCCCTCACCGGCTACGAGATCCTAAAAAGTGGCTTAATTGAAGCTAGCTTCTGCAACGGAACAGAGCAGGACATGCAGAGCTCTCTAATCTGAAAACCTGCGATGTCTGAACACGTGACACTTCCTGATGCCGGCCTGATGCCGCGAGTGGAAAATCCCACAGCTGACCATGGCGAAAAGCTTCGGTCACTCTTTAGCTTTCCCTCACCCTTGGCCTGTCTCTGAATATCTCCTTTTAGTCAAAACTGACTGCCCGGTTGCCCCTGCACATCTGCCACTCCCCTGCCTCTCTACCTTGGCTCGTGCTGCTCCCTTCTGCCTGGACGCCTCCCAGACGCCGTGAGGGCCACCAGGCCTTTCCTCGGCTCCACTGCCCACTGAGCTCCGCACCAATCTGCCCTCCTTGCCCAGTGCTGGGGCTCGCGGGCGGGGACGGTGCCCTGCTCCTGTTGGCCTCCTCCATGACACCTAGCCCAATACCTGTTGAAGCGTGTGTTGATGATGAGTTGTGTCAAAAATGGTCCCAAACTTGGGGTGGGACAGAACCTTTCGCATGATCCAATTCATAACCTTCCTCTGGGAAGAAATGAGCATTCCTGAAAAAATGCGGAGTCGATTTCCTGATAAATTTTAATGGAATTAAGGTGTGATCTGGGAAGCCGGCTCCCACCCGGCTGACTCTCAGGCAAGAGTCTAGTGGGTGGAAAACTATGCTTCGTTGAACTTCATCTAACAGTGGTCTGACCATCGTCTTTTTTTTTTCCACTTTGCTAAAAGGGCACGTGTGTCCAGAGAGAGAGACAGAGAGACAGGGAGGAGAGAAAGCCCTTCCCAGTAGGGGTGTGGCCACACAACCAATTTTGACTTTTGTTTTTTAAGAATTATTTAGTTATCGAAGACTGAGTCCGCCATGAGAGCTGAGATCTAGTGATTTCAGAGATAAGAGCTATGAAGATGTTCTGCTGAGACTCTATTCTGGGAGAAA